ATAAAGTGTGTCAGAGGGCTGGCTCAAGAGGCACAGCCCTCTGACCTGTACCCTTATGCCAGAAAATCTGACACATGGGTACACAAAAAATCATCAAAAAACAGCAAAAAACAGTTTTCTTTGTTAAAAAAACTCAATCAGGAAGTAGAAAAGAGCTGGTCTCAATAATAAACAGTGTCTTGGAGGATATTTCGATCTATCATTTAAGACTAAAAGAGAAATGTTTTTTTAAAGTTTCAAAAAATTACAAGTGTTAACTTTGTAGGTCCAAACCCCAGATTACTGGAAATAGGCGCAAAATGACGCACACATTGAGCACTTAAACTGAAGATTAAAAAAAGTGTCAGAGGGCTGGCTCAAGAGGCACAGCCCTCTGACCTGTACCCAAATGCCAGAAAATCTGACACATGGGTACAAAAAAAATCATAAAAAAACAGCAAAAAACAGTTTTTTTATTTAAAAAACTCAATCAGGAAGTAAAAAAGAGTTGGTCTCAATAATAAACAGTGTCTTGGAGGATATTTCGATCTATCATTTAAGACTAAAAGAGCAATATTTTTTTTTTATTTCAAAAAATTACAAGTGTTAACTTTGTAGGTCCAGACCCCTGAATACTGGAAATAGGCGCAAAACGACGCGCAAATTGAGCACTTAAACTAAAGATCAGAAAAAAAGGGTGTCAGAGGGCTGGCTCAAGAGGCACAGCCCTCTGACCTGTACCCATATGCCAGAAAATCTGACACATGGGTACAAACAAAAATCATCAAAAAACAGCAAAAAAACAGTTTTTTTGTTTAAAAAACTTAATCAGGAAGTAGAAAAGAGCTGGTCTCATTAATAAACAGTGTCTTGGAGGATATTTCGATCTATCATTTAAGACTATAGAGAAACTTTTTTTTTTAAAGTTTCAAAAAAATACAAGTGTTAACTTTGTAGGTCCAAACCCCAGATTACTGGAAAAAGGCGCAAATTGACGCACACATTGAGCACTTAAACTGAAGATCAAAAAAAAATAAAGTGTGTCAGAGGGCTGGCTCGAGAGGCACAGCCCTCTGACCTGTGTCCATATGCCAGAAATTCTGACACATTGGTACAAAAAAAAATCATCAAAAACTGCAAAAAACAGTTTTTTTATTTAAAAAACTCAATCAGGAAGTAGAAAAGAGCTGGTCTCATTAATAAACAGTGTCTTGGAGGATATTTCGATCTATCATTTAAGACTAAAAGAGAATTTTTTTTTTAAAGTTTCAAAAAATTACAAGTTACAAGTGTTAACTTTGTAGGTCCAAACCCCAGATTACTGGAAATAGGCGCAAAATGACGCACACATTGAGCACTTAAACTGAAGATAAAAAAAAATAAAGGGTGTCAGAGGGCTGGCTCAAGAGGCACAGCCCTCTGACCTGTACCCATATGCCAGAAAATTTGACACATGGGTACAAAAAAAAATCATCAAAAAACAGCAAAAAACAGTTTTCTTTGTTAAAAAAACTCAATCAGGAAGTAGAAAAGAGCTGGTCTCATTAATAAAGAGTGTCTTGGAGGATATTTCGATCTATCATTTAAGACTAAAAGAGAATTTTTTTTTTAAAGTTTCAAAAAATTACAAGTGTTAACTTTGTAGGTCCAGACCCCTGAATACTGGAAATAGGCGCAAAATGACGCGCAAATTGAGCACTTAAACTGAAGATCAAAAAAAAATAAAGGGTGTCAGAGGGCTGGCTCAAGAGGCACAGCCCTCTGACCTGTACCCATATGCCAGAAAATCTGACACATGGGTTCAAAAAAAATCATCAAAAACAGCAAAAAACAGTTTTTTTATCTAAAAAACTCAATCAGGAAGTAGAAAAGAGCTGGTCTCATTAATAAACAGTGTCTTGGAGGATATTTCGATCTATCATTTAAGACTATAGAGAAACTTTTTTTTAAAGTTTCAAAAAAATACAAGTGTTAACTTTGTAGGTCCAGACCCCTGAATACTGGAAATAGGCGCAAAACGACGCGCAAATTGAGCACTTAAACTGAAGATCAGAAAAAAAGGTGTCAGAGGGCTGGCTCGAGAGGCACAGCCCTCTGACCTGTGTCCATATGCCAGAAAGTCTGACACATTGGTACAAAAAAAATCATCAAAAACTGCAAAAAACAGTTTTTTTATTTAAAAAACTCAATCAGGAAGTAGAAAAGAGCTGGTCTCATTAATAAACAGTGTCTTGGAGGATATTTCGATCTATCATTTAAGACTAAAAGAGAATTTTTTTTAAAGTTTCAAAAAATTACAAGCTACAAGTGTTAACTTTGTAGGTCCAAACCCCAGATTACTGGAAATTGGCGCAAAATGACGCACACATTGAGCACTTAAACTGAAGATAAAAAAAATAAAGGGTGTCAGAGGGCTGGCTCAAGAGGCACAGCCCTCTGACCTGTACCCATATGCCAGAAAATCTGACACATGGGTACAAAAAAAATCATCAAAAAACAGCAAAAAACAGTTTTCTTTGTTAAAAAAACTCAATCAGGAAGTAGAAAAGAGCTGGTATTAATAATAAACAGTGTCTTGGAGGATATTTCGATCTATCATTTAAGACTAAAAGAGAAATGTTTTTTTTTAAAGTTTCAAAAAATTACAAGTTACAAGTGTTAACTTTGTAGGTCCAAACCCCAGATTACTGGAAATAGGCGCAAAATGACGCACACATTGAGCACTTAAACTGAAGATAAAAAAAAATAAAGGGTGTCAGAGGGCTGGCTCAAGAGGCACAGCCCTCTGACCTGTACCCATATGCCAGAAAATCTGACACATGGGTACAAAAAAAAATCATCAAAAAACAGCAAAAAACAGTTTTCTTTGTTAAAAAAACTCAATCAGGAAGTAGAAAAGAGCTGGTCTCAATAATAAACAGTGTCTTGGAGGATATTTCGATCTATCATTTAAGACTAAAAGAGAAATGTTTTTTTTTTTAAAGTTTCAAAAAATTACAAGTGTTAACTTTGTAGGTCCAGACCCCTGAATACTGGAAATAGGCGCAAAATGACGCGCAAATTGAGCACTTAAACTGAAGATCAAAAAAAATAAAGGGTGTCAGAGGGCTGGCTCAAGAGGCACAGCCCTCTGACCTGTACCCATATGCCAGAAAATCTGACACATGGGTACAAAAAAAAATCATCAAAAAACAGCAAAAAACAGTTTTCTTTGTTAAAAAAACTCAATCAGGAAGTAGAAAAGAGCTGGTCTCAATAATAAACAGTGTCCTGGAGGATATTTCGATCTATCATTTAAGACTAAAAGAGAAATGTTTTTTTTTTTTAAAGTTTCAAAAAATTACAAGTGTTAACTTTGTAGGTCCAAACCCCAGATTACTGGAAATAGGCGCAAAATGACGCACACATTGAGCACTTAAATTGAAGATCAAAAAAATAAAGGGTGTCAGAGGGCTGGCTCAAGAGGCACAGCCCTCTGACCTGTACCCATATGCCAGAAAATCTGACATATGGGTACAAAAAAAATCATCAAAAACAGCAAAAAACAGTTTTTTTATCTAAAAAACTCAATCAGGAAGTAGAAAAGAGCTGGTCTCATTAATAAACAGTGTCTTGGAGGATATTTCGATATATCATTTAAGACTAAACGAGAATTTTTTTTTTTAAGTTTCAAAAAATTACAAGTGTTAACTTTGTAGGTCCGGACCCCTGAATACTGGAAATAGGCGCAAAACGACGCACAAATTGAGCACTTAAACTGGAGATCAAAAAAAAAAAGGTTGTCAGAGGGCTGGCTCAAGAGGCACAGCCCTCTGACCTGTACCCATATGCCAGAAAATCTGACACATGGGTACAAAAAAAAATCATAAAAAAACAGCAAAAAACAGTTTTTTTTATTTAAAAAACTCAATCAGGAAGTAGAAAATAGCTGGTCTCAATAATAAAAAGTGTCTTGGAGGATATTTCGATCTATCATTTAAGACTAAAAGAGAAATGTTTTTTTCTTTAAAGTTTCAAAAAATTACAAGTGTTAACTTTGTAGGTCCAGACCCCTGAATACTGGAAATAGGCGCAAAACGACGCGCAAATTGAGCACTTAAACTGAAGATCAGAAAAAAAGGGTGTGAGAGGGCTGGCTCATGAGGCACAGCCCTCTGACCTGTACCCATATGCCAGAAAATCTGACACATGGGTACAAACAAAAATCATCAAAAAACAGCAAAAAAACAGTTTTTTTATTTAAAAAACTCAATCAGGAAGTAGAAAAGACCTGGTCTCATTAATAAACAGTGTCCAGTGTCTTGGAGGATATTTCGATCTATCATTTAAGACTAAAAGAGAAACTTTTTTTTTTAAAGTTTCAAAAAAATACAAGTGCTAACTTTGTAGGTCCAAATCCCAGATTACTGGAAAAAGGCGCAAATTGACGCACACATTGAGCACTTAAACTGAAGATCAAAAAAAAATAAAGTGTGTCAGAGGGCTAGCTCATGAGGCACATCCCTCTGACCTGTACCCATATGCCAGAAAATCTGACACATGGGTACAAAAAAATCATCAAAAACAGCAAAAAACAGTTTTTTTATTTAAAAAACTCAATCAGGAAGTAGAAAAGAGCTGGTCTCATTAATAAACAGTGTCTTGGAGGATATTTCGATCTATCATTTAAGACTAAAAGAGATTTTTTTTTAAAGTTTCAAAAAATTATGTGCGCTAATCTCCACAAAACAAAGTTAAAATCAATATTTTATTCGTATTTCTCGGTAAATACTCGTGTTTGGTCATAAATCGGAATATATCCACAATTTTTGTACAAACGGACATAATCAGTCATAAACGACTATAACTCAAACTTTTTACTTACATCATCGTATATCGGACGCAACGCCAGCTTGACTTTTTCCGAAACTGCTTGCCTTTTGAAGCAATTATAAACCAGCTTGACTTTTGCAGAAACTGTTCAAGTGCAAAAAAAACTGCTCTTTTGTAGGTCGTAGTTTTAAATTTGAACGATTTATGTTTCACGCATTAGTTACGTTTTGCTCTGCAACATCCTCCGCCCCTAAAGACGGAAGAACGGGTGCGAGTTTTACGGTCGGTCGTATCAGCTCGCTCGTAACAGTTTTGATATCGGCGGATCGGGCGCATCCGTCTTTGCCGTAGTGTAGTTTAGCAATACGGGCGAGTGGGTAATGCCCACGTGGGCTGTCGGGTTCGACTACCCAAACCAAGTCGCCGGTTTTCAGTGTGACATCCGAATCATTATGCCACTTTGCTCTCTTGTTGAGAGATGGTACATATTCACGCAGCCAGCGTGACCAAACTGCGTCAGCGTACGATTGTGCTCTGGCGTAACGCTTTTTATAATCAAAGTTATCTTCGAAACTTAACGACGGGAAGCTAGCTGCGCTGTGACCGAGAATGAAGTGATTCGGGGTGAGTGCCTCTAGGTCGTGCGGATCGGAACTGACCGGAGTGATCGGTCTTGCGTTAAGTAATTGTTCAACTAGGCAGAGCGTTGTTCCTAGAACTTCCTCAGTTAATCTCCTGTTGCCTAATATGTCGTACAACACTCGCTTAACACTTCTCACTAGCCGCTCCCAGGCGCCACCGTGATGAGGGGCACTGGGCGGGTTAAACTTCCACTTAATGCCTTTGTGAACGAAAACGGCCGGGGCGACTTTGTTCCAATTTTGGACACAGGATAGGAGCTCCTTTTGAGCACCAACAAAGTTCGTGCCATTGTCAGAACGAATGGTTTTGGGGGTACCTCGCCTTGCAATAAATCGCTCTACGCCCATGACGCAGCAACTAGTATCGAGAGATGGAACCAACTCGATGTGAACTGCTCGAGTCGAGTCGTGAGGCAGGTAAATAGGAAACCCCATCTCTTTTCGGTACTTCGGCGTATTGGCACTTGAAACGGGCCAAAATAATCAACACCTGTGTTGGAGAAGGGAGGCTGCTTGTAACCCAGTCTTTCAATCGGTAGGTCAGACATAATGGGCACAACTGTTTTTGCTTTGCGCTTACGGCATGTTATGCAAGTATTTTCGATGTTCCCAAGTAACCAGCGCATTTTCAGAACAATGTATTTCAACTGAACTACAGCACGCATGTAATCCAACCCCTGATGTGCATGTTGAAAGTGCATATGCCTAATCAACATATGAGCAACTCGGTGTCGACCATCCAGTATTATTGGATGTTTGCTATCAAAGTCGGTGTCAACAAGACGGCTGATACGTCCAGTTGAACGCAGGATGCCAGCTGGGCCGATGAACGGAGAATATTTAGCAATCCGACTTTTCTTTGTTATCAGTTTATCGGACTGAAGTATTTTCACTTCGGCAGGAAATGATTCGGACTGAGCGAGATAAATGAGCTTCTGCTCGGCAATATCTAACTCGGAAGGGTCGGTTATTTCAAGCGTTTTTGTACGGAAGTGTTTATGCGATGGTAGCACACGAAGCATAAACGCTAAAACACGTTTGTACTTTACAATTGAGCTGAATTTATCCCAATTTTTAAACAGACGGATCGACGGCGCTTTCTCAGATGAAGCATCAACAACAAACGTAGATGCAGTCTCAAGGCATGTATCAATGTCACAGAGTGGGCCTTTTAATTGGATCTTTTTGATGACATCAGTGTTCGGCTTGAATGGCCAATCACATGTCCTCAATATACTAGGGCCTCTAACCCAGCTGCTATCCTTGAGGGCTTCCGAAGAAATCCCTCGTGTGCCGGTATCAGCTGGGTTATCACCACTGAGTACATGATTCCATGTGGTTTGACCAGCGTTGACGACGGCACCCCCGCTGACGACGGCACCAACCCCTTGCAAAACATCAGTAGCAATCAAAGGGGAACTCTCGACTACTGGATGACTTTGCTCTGAGCTTGCAACAAATTCGGCTTGCTCTTGCTCAGTGACAACGTTTTCTACCCATTGTTCAGTACGTTGTGGGTCAACATGTGTTACGCAAGCATTTCCTATCTTCTCACTTGCTTCAGAAAGCTCTTCTTCCAACTCGAATTCCTTTAACTCAATTTCAGCCAGTTTCTTGCGGTGTACCTCAGCTAGTTCTTCCAACTCTAAACTTCCTTGCTGTTCTTTTATTTTTTTTTGCTGCGCTTTCAACTTCAATGACACCTTTGCTTGTCTCTCAGGTTCCTCTTGCTGCTTCTTCAAAACCAACAAATCTCGCCTCTTCTCAGTTGATGTTTTTGACTGCGCGACGGTATAGCGACTGGATTTATGCGAACCTGATTTATGATGTCGACTACTGTACCGCGACACCTTAGAGCGCGCATCTGCTTCATGTGAATCCTGTGGTTGTGTTGTTACGATCGTACTTAACGATTCTGCCACTTTATCAAGCTCTGTTTCCTCAGGTTCAACGTTTAAGCCAGCTTTATATGATGCAGCCTTCTGTAAAACTGTATCGTTTCTTGATGTAACCGTATGAAGCCACATATCTTGCGCTGGTATCAATTTATCAGGATCAACACTTTTAGAAACTAACTTAATCAATTCCTCATTTATTTCAACTGCAGTCTCTATCAGGCTCTTGCAATTCTGAATCTGAGTGTCAATCTTTGATGAGCGACTCTGACTTTCAATGTGCTCAATTATAATTTCATGGCACTTGTACAGTTCATTTTCAAGTTTGGTTCGCTTCGCAAATAACCTTTGAACCCTCTTCTGAAAGTTCTCATCCATGGCTCTAGGGTCTATACTTAACTCAAACTATACTTAACGGTTATCGGGCGTTTGCGGGGCGATTCGGAACGGTTTTCGGTGAGCAAAGTTACCAATGGGGCTGGGGATTAAGTACGTCGGTTGATATCAAACAACACACACGGAGTAAACCTGAGGATGAATAAAACCAACTTAACTTACTTAATATCACCTCCCTGACCACTTAGGATGATGTTACGGCGTACAAAATTTGTTGAACGGTCGTACGACGGTGCGTCACTACTAATCGGCTAGTAGCTCGACGAAATACCAAGAGGTTTGGGAATTAAGCAAGTCGGTTGAAAACCAACAACACACGCGGAGCAAACCTGAGGATGAAAGAAAACAACTTAACTTGCTTAATTTTACCGTCCCGGACCACTTATTCAGTCGTTGCGAAACGAATGTTTTGAAAAACGAACGAATGCAAACAGGTATCAAGTCGTTGTAAACCTTAAGTTTACCACTGGGGTTGGAGAATCAGGCAACTCGGTTAACTCTCAACAACACACGCGGAGTGAACCTGAGGATGAAAAAAAAATTAACTTAACTTGCCTGATATTAACTACCCAGACAACTAAACATACTTTAACTATACGGTTCAACGGAGTTTTGGACTAATTTTTCAGAAAATTTTCAATTTTCAAACAAAATTTTGTATAGTTTGGTTAGTGGATTCGAGTCATAACTGGTATCAAAAAACTAGTCTAGTAACCGTTAGTCTATGTTCCGAAATTATAAATTTTCAATTCATCAAAAAAATAGCCAACATTTTGGCTATCGAGCAAAAAATCTAGTTCCGGTTATCTAGTACCCGATTTAGAGCAATTTTTCTAATTTCAGTTTAATCAAACTGGCCAAAAATTTTCGGGTATCGAGAAAAATTAGGGGTGAGTACTGGCGTTGTGTCTCACATTTATAATATAAAACATCGTATCCGTAATTTATCAAAATTAAAAGTTTAGTTTCGGTCTTACAGTTTTTGTGAAGATAGGGCGCACCGATGAGATCGTCGGTCACAAACAGCCTCACTGAATAGCCCAAACCGTCTTGTTGCAAGTCAGAAACTCTGTCAGTGACTTATCGTCTGGATGGGCTACCCTGTCAGTGCTATTGAACTCCCAGACACATCCATTATGAATTGTTCAGTATAACCGTTTTTGTAATAATAACTCGGATTATTATAAGGGAATTAACTAATATCTGTCCCTTGTGGGGCGCCAAAATGTGCGCTAATCTCCACAAAACAAAGTTAAAATCAATATTTTATTCGTATTTCTCGGTAAATACTCGTGTTTGGTCATAAATGGGAATATAACTACAATTTTTGTATAAACGGACATAATCAGTCATAAACGACTATAACTCAAACTTTTTACTTACATCATCGTATATCGGACGCAACGCCAGCTTGACTTTTTCCGAAACTGCTTGCCTTTTGAAGCAATTAAAAACCAGCTTGACTTTTGCAGAAACTGCATAAGTGCAAAAAAAACTGCTCTTTTGTAGGTCGTAGTTTTAAATTTGAACGATTTATGTTTCACGCATTAGTTACGTTTTGCGCTGCAACAAATTACAAGTGTTAACTTTGTAGGTCCAGACCCCTGAATACTGGAAATAGGCGCAAAGCGACGCGCAAATTGAGCACTTAAACTGAAGATCAAAAAAAAATAAAGGGTGTCAGAGGGCTGGCTCAAGAGACACAGCCCTCTGACCTGTACCCATATGCCAGAAAATCTGACACATGGGTACAAACAAAAATCATCAAAAAACAGCAAAAAAACAGTTTTTTTTATTTAAAAAACTCAATCAGGAAGTAGAAAAGAGCTGGTCTTATTATTAAACAGTGTATTGAAGGATATTTTGAACTATCATTTAAGACTTAAAGAAAATTTTTAAGAAAGCTCCTCAGCTTGCTTCAGAAAGCTCTTCTTCCAACTCGAATTCCTTTAACTCAATTTCAGCCAGTTTCTTGCGGTGTACCTGAGCTAGTTCTTCCAACTCTAAACTTCCTTGCTGTTCTTTTATTTTTTTTTGCTGCGCTTTCAACTTCAATGACACCTTTGCTTGTCTCTCAGGTTCCTCTTGCTGCTTCTTCAAAACCAACAAATCTCGCCTTTTCTCAGTTGATGTTTTTGACTGCGCGACGGTATAGCGACTGGATTTATGCGAACCTGATTTATGATGTCGACTACTGTACCGCGACACCTTAGAGCGCGCATCTGCTTCATGTGAATCCTGTGGTTGTGTTGTTACGATCGTACTTAACGATTCTGCCACTTTATCAAGCTCTGTTTCCTCAGGTTCAACGTTTAAGCCAACTTTATATGATGCAGCCTTCTGTAAAACTGTATCGTTTCTTGATGTAACCGTATGAAGCCACATATCTTGCGCTGGTATCAATTTATCAGGATCAACACTTTTAGAAACTAACTTAATCAACTCCTCATTTATTTCAACTGCAGTCTCTATCAGGCTCTTGCAATTCTGAATCTGAGTGTCAATCTTTGATGAGCGACTCTGACTTTCAATGTGCTCAATTATAATTTCATGGCACTTGTACAGTTCATTTTCAAGTTTGGTTCGCTTCGCAAATAACCTTTGAACCCTCTTCTGAAAGTTCTCATCCATGGCTCTAGGGTCTATACTTAACTCAAACTATACTTAACGGTTATCGGGCGTTTGCGGGGCGATTCGGAACGGTTTTCGGTGAGCAAAGTTACCAATGGGGCTGGGGATTAAGTACGTCGGTTGATATCAAACAACACACACGGAGTAAACCTGAGGATGAATAAAACCAACTTAACTTACTTAATATCACCTCCCTGACCACTTAGGATGATGTTACGGCGTACAAAATTTGTTGAACGGTCGTACGACGGTGCGTCACTACTAATCGGCTAGTAGCTCGACGAAATACCAAGAGGTTTGGGAATTAAGCAAGTCGGTTGAAAACCAACAACACACGCGGAGCAAACCTGAGGATGAAAGAAAACAACTTAACTTGCTTAATTTTACCGTCCCGGACCACTTATTCAGTCGTTGTGAAACGAATGTTTTGAAAAACGAACGAATGCAAACAGGTATCAAGTCGTTGTAAACCTTAAGTTTACCACTGGGGTTGGAGAATCAGGCAACTCGGTTAACTCTCAACAACACACGCGGAGTGAACCTGAGGATGAAAAAAAAATTAACTTAACTTGCCTGATATTAACTACCCAGACAACTAAACATACTTTAACTATACGGTTCAACGGAGTTTTGGACTAATTTTTCAGAAAATTTTCAATTTTCAAACAAAATTTTGTATAGTTTGGTTAGTGGATTCGAGTCATAACTGGTATCAAAAAACTAGTCTAGTAACCGTTAGTCTATGTTCCGAAATTATAAATTTTCAATTCATCAAAAAACTAGCCAACATTTTGGCTATCGAGCAAAAAATCTAGTTCCGGTTATCTAGTACCCGATTTAGAGCAATTTTTCTAATTTCAGTTTAATCAAACTGGCCAAAAATTTTCGGGTATCGAGAAAAATTAGGGGTGAGTACTGGCGTTGTGTCTCACATTTATAATATAAAACATCGTATCCGTAATTTATCAAAATTAAAAGTTTAGTTTCGGTCTTACAGTTTTTGTGAAGATAGGGCGCACCGATGAGATCGTCGGTCACAAACAGCCTCACTGAATAGCCCAAACCGTCTTGTTGCAAGTCAGAAACTCTGTCAGTGACTTATCGTCTGGATGGGCTACCCTGTCAGTGCTATTGAACTCCCAGACACATCCATTATGAATTTTTCAGTATAACCGTTTTTGTAATAATAACTCGGATTATTATAAGGGAATTAACTAATATCTGTCCCTTGTGGGGCGCCAAAATGTGCGCCAATCTCCACAAAACAAAGTTAAAATCAATATTTTATTCGTATTTCTCGGTAAATACTCGTGTTTGGTCATAAATCGGAATATAACTACAATTTTTGTATAAACGGACATAATCAGTCATAAACGACTATAACTCAAACTTTTTACTTACATCATCGTATATCGGACGCAACGCCAGCTTGACTTTTTCCGAAACTGCTTGCCTTTTGAAGCAATTAAAAACCAGC